GAGAGAAACTGAGCGGTGGATAAGGACTTGGAAACAGGCCAGTTGCGGGTGCCCGGAAGCGGTTGGATGGAGAACTGAGAGGCCCGAACCTGAGCTAGCTTCATCATCATGTGGGCAAACACGTGCAGGAACCCCACCACGGCGTCCCAGAGGCGGCTGTGCGCAAGGCTCTGCTGGTTCCCGGTGCAGGGGCCCTGGCGGGCAGAGGGCTGCGTGAGTGCCAGGCGGGCGCGGGGTGCCGGCCTGCCCCGTCCTGCCCCAACGGGCGGGACCTACCTGGATGTACTCAGTGAGGCTGTTGAACACCTGTTTAGCCACCGACATGGCCTTGGAAAAGTTTCTCTTGCCCTGCTCCTCAATGACGTCCTTGCCGGAGTAGTACCAGTAGAAGTCGCTGATGGACTCCTGGGGGTCCGACAAGGGGTGAGGGGATGCTGGGCCAACGATGGCCCTACAGCCCGCGATCCACCTGGAGGCCTCACATCCTTACCTGCAGCCGCAGGAGGTAGTCCACAGTACAAATGATGATGTTAATAGTGGTTGTGTTCCCTGTCTGTGTCCGTAGGTAGTTTTGGAAATCTAGGAAGATTAAAAGTCATTCATTCTTTGAGAATCTGTCAAGTGCTAAGGGAGGTGGTCATTTATTCATTAATACGGAAGTGTTTAAATAGAGCGCCTACTGCAGGCTAGAAAGCATATCATCATTAATTTATTAAGTATCTCCCCCCCCCAAGATTTTCTTTATTTATTTTTAGAGAGAGGGGAAGGGAGGGGGAAAGAGGGAGCTACACCAATGTGTGGTTGCCTCTCGCGTGCCCCCGCCCTTAACTGGGGACCTGGCCCACAACCCAGGCATGTGCCCTGACTGGGAATGGAACCCTGGACCCTTTACTTCGCAGCCTGGCACTCAATCCACTGAGCCATGCCAGCCAGGCTCTCCCACTTTTATCAAGCACCTACTGTGTGTCAGAGAAAGATGGAGAAACATTTATTCATTTATGTAATATTTATTGAGGGCCTACTAAATGCAAGATATGGTAAAGGATCAGTCATTTATTCATTGATTAGTTTCCAAAATATGGTTCTTGAGCACCTACAATGTAGTAGGGTAAATGGAGATTTCATTCTCCATTTGTTCCCAAAATGTTTATTGAATGCCTCCTATGTGTTGGGGGAGATGGAAGATTGGTTATTTATGTATTTATTTATTCAACAAATATTTATTGAGCATCCACCAAAAAACAAAAGAAATAAACATATGTCATTTCTTTGTTCATTGATTCAATATACATTTATTGAGTATATATTGTACTATATGCTAATGGGAGATGAAGGTTGTCTACTTATTCTTTGATACTACAAATTTATTGAGCATTTATTATTGTCAGGCACTGTTCTGGACCCTAGAGATACTGAAGTAGAAGAAAACAAAGTCCCTGCTCTTGTAAAGTTTATATTCTCATGTAGTAATTTTCAGTCTTTTCTAACTGCAAACTATGGCAGGAATTCCGTTTTACATCGAGACCCAGTACATGTGTTTAATCTGAAATTATATCCACATACACTTGAAACAGAGGTTTCACATACCCTTACAATGTGTATTCTGGTGTTTTCTGTCTTATTAACTATAAGGGGTTTTGATCTCAACCCACTAAATCTGTAGTTTTCAACCTCTTAACTTTGGCTGTGCATTAGAATTATCTAGAGGTCTTTTAAAAAACTCCAGTGCTCAGGCCCCCTCCAAACCAATTAAGTTAGGGTCTGGGGGGTGAAGCCTGGGGTTTAGTATTTTTAAAGGCTCCCCAGGCATACCATGTGCAGTTAGGATGAGAGCTATGTCAAACTGATTCACGACTCTGGAGAGCTGGTTCCCACTATTTGAAAAACATTGTTCTAGGGCAGAAAGTTGATAACTGTTAAAGATGGGTACTTGGGGGGTTCTAAGGCCATTCTCTATTCTTCAGTGTATGATAATAATAACAATGGCAATACTAAATTTGTTAGTGGCAGAAGCGGTGGTGGATAATACTGGGCAGAATGATCAGAGTTGTGATGGGGGAAACCCAGAGGGGCTGCGGACACCCAGAGGTAGCAAAGAAGCTGGCGGAGAGGACCTCCCAGCTGAGACCTGAAAGATAAGTAGGATCTGGCTGCATAGCTATGTGACCTCAGGCATGTTATTGAACCTCTCTGTGTGGTACAGACTTCCCTGTTTCCCCATATGTAACACGGTGGTCTCCGTAGACTAGAGAGCAGTAGTGAGGTTTTAAGACTTTAGCATACATAAAGGATTTAGTACAGCACCTGGTACATAAGTGCTCAGTGGACATTAGCTGCTCTTAGAGGGCCTTAAAGAAAAAAAGGGGGGGGGGGCTTAAAGAAAGTGCTGAGGTTAAGAGCTGCACTTTGCAGTGGTGATTTTCAAAGTGTGGCTCCAGAACAGCAGAATCAGCATCTCCTGGGACCCTGTTAGTAGTGCACATTCCTGGGCTCCACCCCAGAACCTACTAAATCGGACATTGTGGGGTGAGTCCCAGAAGTCTATTTTAGCAAGGCTTCCAGGTGATTCTTGGGCATACTTAAGTTTGAGAACCACCTATGTAAACTCATTTGCCAAATGACCAATTCATTGATTTATCAAGTCAATAAACACGGGCTTTAGTGCAGTCTTTTTAACATTGATTACAATGTCATGTTGCCCAGGATGGCTGTAACAGCCCTTGAAAGGCTGTGCACCCCCCAAAGCCTTACTTTCCACTTGACTTCCCTATGGCCACTTCACAATCACTGTATCAGGTTAAATGTCCACTTTGCCCGGCTACACGTTATAGACAAAGTATACTAAGATAGTCAAGATTTTATAAGCAAATATACAGATTGTCTCATGAACCCTGTTTCCTAACTCCTTTGTGTTCATTTAAATTGGACTACATGCTTCAGTGACTAGATACAGAGCTCCCCACTCGTAAAGGACCCTGTCAGCTGAGAACACTGTCATAAACATGCGCACATATGAGACACACCTTTCGTCTGCTTCAAATCTGCTCCAGACACGCAAGGCATCTGAGATTTGAAAGATACTGCAAATACTTCTATGATTTGGCTGGTGAGTGAATCCAAGAATTTAGGCAGACAACTGGATTGCAGATTTTCTGGGAGAGAGAAATCCCCTCCAAAAGAACATTCTCATTTCCCCAAAGTCATAGACCCAGGGAATAAAATTCATTTTAAATCCCAAAGATGAATTCCACTTTAGTTGAAATTCAAGAAGGGAAACCCCAGTTATGCAGCAGAAGGGTAGTTAATAAACACTGAAGAAAAATTGGTTATAGACATAAGAACTTTTGAGAATGTAAAGCAATAGTTCATGCTCCATCCTTTGTTGAAGAGTGGGGATTAGAGATATTTACAAAACAGTTACCTTAAAGAACACTAGCCAAGTGGGGTGCAAGCTCTGTGGGAGTCAGGTTTATAATTACTCCCATCCTTGTTGTGAAGGCTGATTTCTGGGCAGTCTGTAGTCCCATAATAACCTCCTAAGCATTACAACCACACCTTGAGTCTGATGTGGCATTCAGTAGAATGTTTGTCCGCCAGGATTTGGGCTGTCCCTTTAATCTTATAAGCTACATGTGCCATACGTGGTTGTATTTTCTCATCAACTATGTGTTTAATTGATTTGCTGGTTACCTTTGATGTGGTTAAATTGCCTGAACCAGAACAAATGTAAAAACTCTCTCTTAAAATTAGGAAAAATTTAGTAGTCGTTCCTTCTGGCAAAGTATTTTTATAAGCAAAATTAATAAGTGATTCTAATGGATTCATTGAAAAAAATGCTGGGTGGTTTCCTTTCCTCTACAGACCCAAAGTATGGAAATCCGTATTTACTGAATTTCGAAATACCTGTGGAAAAATGGTATGTGGCTAATCGCTCATTTGGGCAAGTTGATTTTTGGACAAACTGGTTTCTGGCTAGGTTGCTTCTGGGGAGTTGGACTGGCCAGAGGAAGCAAACGTGAAGCAAAGTGGCTGGATTCTAGAAACTCAAGAGAGAGTTAGGAAGGTGGGTGCATTGGGCATGACTGTGGCTGAATGCAAAGGATGGACAATGGGATCGAGAAGGGGTGGTGAGGCCGGTACTGACAAGGGGAGGCGGGGACTGGAGGTTAACTCAGGCAACTCTGCCGAACTCTGGACTCTCCCCAGTCCTCGGCCTCCTCTACATTCCGCCCACCCCAGTCCTTCTCACCATTATTATGCCCCTCGCAGAGCAATTGCAGGAATCGGAACAGATCTTGGGTGAATTCATCGTCTGCCATGACCTTCTCTCCTGGGTGGCAAAAGGGAGCAGGGCCCAGAAGAGGTCAGGTACACCGAGACACAGCGCACACGTGCACACAGCCCATGCACACTGCACATGCACATGGCACACGCATGCACAAAGCATAGTGGTGAGGGGAGGAGCAGCCACCACTTCAAAGACACTGAGAAGGCCACTGACATCCGTAACACCAGGAGCTCCCGATCTCAGAATCCGTGAGAGCAGATGGAGGCCTGAGGGGCCCTGAGTATGGAAGCTGGTGCCTCAGTGTCTTTCTACATCAGTGTCCCTCTGATGTCACCACTTATATGACGTCTGGGAGTGTCTGCCTGATCCAGCAGAGACTCGAGCAGCTGATACCTCCCTCAGCGCTCCGACTGGACGGGGGTTAATAGATTATGGGGCAGGGGATGGGGGGGATCACTTTCACGCAAGGATCAGAGCAGGGAGGAATGGGGTTGAAAGCCAGCCAATTGGAAAGCAGCTTTGAAATCAGCCAATCCAGGAGAGGCAGGGGGATGGTGTAAACATGGGCCAATCAGAACGGCCATCTAAAAGAAGTCACTCAAGGAGGGAGGGGAGAGAGAGAGAGAGAGAGGGAAGCCTAGACAGTGAATGGGCCAACCAGAGCAGACGCTGAAGACGCACGCACACCAATCAGACTGGAAGCTGAGGGCAACCAATCCGGTTGGTGAATGGAAACTGCAGACCCCACCACTGTAGAGTCGCAGTGCAGGCAGCAGGATGGGTGGGAGTTGGGATCATCCCACCCCGGGACTGAGAAGCTGGGTGTGAAAGTTGAAGAACATCCATCTGGAAACGGATCTTTGCCATCTCCTCTGGCTTCTACTTTACATGTGGAGAAACTGGAGCCAACAGGAGGTAAGTGACTGGTTTCATAATCCCAGGTGTTGTTAGTGGCTAATCTGGGACCTGAATTTGGTCTCTGGACTCCGATCTCAAGACTTTCTGCGGGCACCCAGAACCAATGAAGAATTTTTCCCTGGATGTTCCAGATCCTCAGCCCCCAGGTGGAGGGGAGGGGGATGGGGATGGGGGACAGGGTTAGAAGGGAGGGGTGGCAGAGTGGCACAGCAAAGGGAGTAGGCTAGGGGAATTACCGTTCTGGCGGTTGATGACTGGGGCAGCCAACAGGATGGGAGGAGGAAGCAGGAGAAAAGAGGGAGAAAGAGACAGAAGGAGACAGAGTGACAGAAAAATACACACAGTGACACACAGTCAGGGTCAAAGGACAGACATGGAAAAAGAACCACATAGAAAGAGCGATAAGGAGAGAGAAGGAAGCCAGAAAGAGAGTAGCAAGTGATGGTAAAAAGCATTGGGAAAGAAAGAAGAGGGAAGAGAAAGGGAGATGGACAGGTAGAGGTGGAGAGGCAGGAGGCAAGGATCAGGGCAGAAAGGTTAAACACGTCACAACACGGCAAAGAGGAGACTCGATTAACCCGGATTAGGGACATTAATAAGAGAACAGCAACCAGGGCAGGAAACTTCGGGCTTGTAGAGAGTGGGATCCATGTGGTGATGGGTGAGAGAACACAGGACGCAAGGACACCCAGAGGTGGGGGCCATGGGGAGGGAGACCCTGGAGGAATGGGAAGGAGCAGGGCTGGGGACCACTGCACGGATCAGCGGAGGAGGTGGAATCTGGGGATACCCTGGGAGAGGGTTTTGGAGGAAGGGAGCCCTGGGCAATGTTGGGGAGGGGGCATATCTTAAAGGGAGGAGAAATCCCATGGAGAGGGAAGCCCACGAGAGGGCCTCACCAGTTCCGTCTTCATTCACCATGCCCAGCCCTTCCGCCTTGTTCTGTCTCTCGAATGCATTGAGATCCAGGACGCTGAGGGGAAGAAAGGGAAGATGGGAAGAGGTGCTGAGGTCCTGTTGCGGAGCCCTGCAGCAGCCCCCGGCGATGGCAGTTGGAGGACCACTGGAAACCATGAATGAGCAGAGATCAAGAGGAAGTAGAAACTAAGAGCTGGCAGAAACTATGTGGTGGGGGCTGTGAAGTAATGTGAGGCAAGGATGAAATATGTACAAGTGGAAATCAGGAGGATACAGAAGCCATCAATTAGCAGAAGTTTCAGAGGGTAGAGGAAGCCAGTCAACAGCAAGAGCAGAGTCACATTAATAGGGGTCATTGGAGAGAACCCAGATTCCCTGCTTCTGGGTGTCCCCTGAGTTCTCAACAATCTTCCATTTCCAGCTCCCTGGAGCCATAAGGGTGGCATTTCCCCATCCTTGTTGTTGCAGGTGAATTCTTATAATAAACTTCCTGTCACTCGAGCTAGTCTGAATGCGTCTCTGTTTCTGGAACCAGGAGAGCAGAACTAGAACTGGAAGTGGTAGGAGGGTCGGGGCACAGTGGCACCAAACAGCTTCACTGAAAGATACACACTAGAGCCTACCTGCATGTCTGCATCAGTGCCTGGATACTCTGGAAGAAGCCAACTTCCTTCTTGTCCTTCAGATAATCCAACATTTTCTGCAGAGTGGGTGGCATAATGGGGAAATGGGAGTCATGCAGGAACCTCCCCCCCCCCCCCCCCCCCCCCCCGCCAAGCTCTCCTCCCAAGGTCCTTTGCCCGTTACCTGCTGCACATCAGCATTGCCCCCATTTAGTATGGAGATGCCCAGCTTCAGGGTGGAGGACACCATGGCTCCCGTCTCTCCTGGAGGGGGCAGGGGACAAAAGATGCTCCACTTAGTTTGGGAGTGATGTTCTCCATCCACCAGAAAATGGCCATCACGGGATGTAAGAGAAGGGGTTGTAGGTGTGTGCAAGGGTAACCGTGGCTGAAAAGTAGTAAGAAATCTCAAGGCAAGTGGAACATGCAAGGGCTGGAGTGTGTGTGCAAACCAAAAAGGCATGCATGGGTGGGAGAGTGTGCCGCTGGGTCCACAGGAAATGGGTGGGTTGGGGAGAGGGAAGACAGGATGAGTGTGCTCAGGAGCCGGATGCTTGTGGAGGGCACCTTTGCAGGCACTGATCATCTGCAGCACCATCTCCGCAGCCCCTCGGTTGTGCAGCCGCGCCTGCTGGTACAGGAGCCTCTGCTTCTCCATCTCTTTCTCCTGGGACAGTCAGGACCGTGGGGACAGGTGAGTCCAGGCTCAGCAGCCCGGCCTTTCCCCCTCATGGCCTGACCCCTCACCCCTGTGCTCCCTGCTCCAGCCACACCCACTGGCTCCTTCCTTCTACTCATAAACCTCCTCTCTCCTTTGGGACTGAAGTCTGATTTGTCCCTTGCACCTAGTGCAGGGCTGGACATGGCACCATTTTAACTTGGGCCCACAGGTCTCCAAGGGGCCAATGGATAAAATCCAGGAGGTCTGTGCACTTGAATGAGGAAAAAAGTTGTACTTTTATGTTACTACCCTCTAACTGAAAGGTAGCATTTCCTCCCTTGATGGAGGAGGCCATAAAACATAGCAACATTAGCAGAACTTGTGGCTGTGTCATCGGTAAAAATCACAGATGTTCCCATGTCACAGTTTTGTTTATATTCATCACTGATCACTTCCCGCTGTTGGACCCGCTGGTAGGTCTTATTTGATACATTAATCAAAAAGTACAGGTATTACTGTATCACAAATTTCTAAAACAATATTTTGATAACTATTTCCATGTGTTTATTTTCTCTGTGACAAATTCATTTTACACACTTAAAAACATGATTCTGAGAAAGGCTTCACCAGCTACAAAAGGATTCCTGGCACAAAAGGGTTAAGAAATTCAGACATGCTTGCTGATTGCCTTCATGGTGAATAGTTGGGTAACTGCATGTTTACTAGCTCCTTCTCACTCTGTGGCCTTTGCAAATGCTGTTTCCCTGTCTGGAAACACCTTTCTCCTTTTCCTCAACTGGCACACTCCTGCTCAGACATCCCTGCCTCTGAGAAGCCTTCCCTGCCACCCTTGTCCCCTGGCTTGGTCAGGCACCTTGCCTGGGCTACCACAGTCCCGTGAATTTCCCCCATAGTCTCCTGAGCTTTTCTGGCTTCCCCGGCCCTTATCCCCCTGCCTGAGCTTTCCTCATCACCACTTGAACACTCTGCTGTTACTGTCTGATCGATGCATCTACGTCCTCAGTGGACCGACTTGGTCAATGCTGTGTCCCCAATATCGTCCAGCCCAGGGCCTGGCCCAGAGCACCTGCTGAATGAATGGGGATTACTGAAGTCAGGGGCCCTCATCCCTTTCCTCCAGCACCTCCTGATCCCACCTACCTCAAATGAAACTTCAACCTCTTCTTCATCTTCACCGTTCTCCCCTCCCTCCTCCAGGTGGCAGCTCTGGGGATGAGGCATCAAGTTATGGATGATGGGGAACAGAGGAGATACCTCAGTCCACCCCCAGCCCTTTCAGTGGACAGGTGTTGTAGCTGAGAAGGGGACCTTTCCTGGATTGGGGCAGGGCCTCACCTTTGCCATGATATCGGCATACGCCATGTATAGGTAATCCTCGTCCAGTTTGCTGAGGAAGTAATCAGATAGTCAGGACCCAATGGAGAGGCCCCCACTTCACAGCGGTTTCTAATGTTCCTTTGGAAAGCAACCCTCCCCATGCTCAGCCTGTGTGGTTCATGCAGGGTAAACTGTCTGTTGCCAGAGTGGGCCTGTGGTGTAGGCTGAGCCAGTCAGTGCTTTCTATCTGCTTGGCCACAGTAACAGCTCCGAGATGGTCACGTGATCCAGGCTGGGCCAGTGCAACTCATTTGGGGAGTTTTGGTGTGATGGAAGCCTGGAGTTTCTGGGTGTATCTTGCCACCTGTTGGCTTACTTGACAACTATGACCACCCATCTTGTTCTTGGGTCTAAATAGTAATAATAATAATAATAATAATAATAGTAGTAGTAATGGCCAAGACCTATTGTTTACCCTGTTATTCTCTGAGATATATACATATTCCCTGATATATATATATGTGTGTGTGTGTGTGTGTGTGTGTGTGTGTATATATATATATCCTCACAATAATCATATTAGGTAGGTATATTACTAACCTCATTTTACCAATGAGGAAACCGAGGCACAAAGATCCTTCTTGGCCAAGGTCACACAGCTTCTATTGGGATTCACACCTGGGTAGTCTGTAACTCCAGAGTCATTGCTTTTCCAAACCACTCAACTTCCTGGCCTCCCCTGCAGCTAGTCGTGGCCTTATGTCAGAATTCTGACCAATGACACATGTGCAGACGCCCACCAAAGAGGCTTCTGTTCTTGGATAAAAAGATCTTGGTCTTGCTTAGAGGAAAAAAAATTCTCTCCCCTTCTTTCTGCCTGGCACGTGGTCATGTCTGGAAGTTCAGCATCTGCCTTGTGACCACAAGCTCAGAATGGCAGTGCAGAAAGCCTGAGCAGGCGCGTCAGCCTGAATAACCCTGTACCTCACTGTGTCACTGCCCAGCCCTGGACTCGCTACTCCTGCCTTCACGTTATGTGAGAAAAAGAAATCCTTGTGCCGCCATTTCCTTGTTCACAAAAAGGAGTTGATAACTGTATTCTATCTCATAATGTGAAGCTTAAGTGAGAAAATATAGATGCCAAGTGTTTAGATGGTGCCTGACACATAAAAGCACTTGATAAATGTCATGTGTTAGCAGCAGCAGCAGCAGCAGCAACAGCAGCACCATTACTACTGTTATCTATTTCCAAGACTGCCATTAACCCACATGAAGCCTTTGTGTGAATTAGAAAAAGGTCCCCCTTCCACACTTCCTTCCGTTGGAAATTTGCCATAATACACTGATGTGTTCCTGTAATACACAGATTTTGTTTTGAGCAAGATTCTTTCTTCTAGAAAAGTCAGAATCGGTATTGTCTGTGATGTGAACCCTTGAGAGGAAATACCCTTGTGAAATGTTCAGCCTTCACAATGGTACATGGTGGCCCTACCTGTCCTAGTAAAGTGACCGTGAAAAATCAGCTCCAGGGGTCCCCTGGGACACAGAGGGTCTCTCTTGAGGAACAGGGGAGTTTCTGAGAGCAGGGAAGTAGTGAGTTCTCTTTCCTGGACCTAGAGAGGGTCCTCACCTCTTTTCAGTCAGGGCAGTGCGGCTAAAGTGCAGGACCAGTTGGTGCAGGGGGTCTGGCTTCTTCTCCTCTACTTCCTCCTCTTCCTCCTCCTTCTTCCCAGCTTTCTACAGGGAGGTGTGGGGCTTGGAGAAGGGGCTTCTAGAGTCCTCTTCTGTCTCTCCCGTAGCCCTGACGGGCTGGATACTTTTTCCTCACACGTCCCACATCCTGCACCCTCCCCTGGTTCTGCCCAACCCAGGGGTCACCTTTCTCATGCCCCTCAGTGCGAAAGGCAACCCCTAGGGGTGTGCAACAGGCACCCTCAGCCCCGGCCCTGTCCAGCTCTGTCCCCATACTCCCAGGCAGGCCCCAACTCACAGAAAGGTCATCTATCATGCGGTCCTCAAAACTGTGGTCTTCAGTCAGGATCCACGTGGCTTTGTAGCTCTCCAGGAACATGTTGCATGCCCGGTGCCTGCAAGGGAAAGGTGTGGGGTTACAGTGGGACCTTCTCCCCTAGCGCTTCCTCTAACCTCCCATAAATTTGCCTCCTCCAGCCATTCCTCAGCAGCGCATCATATCGGCAGTCCGTCCTCCCACCCTCTCAGTCACACTTTATCCGCGGCTTAGAGAGCTTCCCTCTTCCCTGGGTGTCGTACGTGGGCAGGTTGTACAGAGGGGTCATGCGGAAACAGGCAACGACCGCCCTCCGGCGCTGCTTGGACAAGAGCTTGTGCCACACAGCCTTCTTGGACTTGAAAGGGTGCTCGACCTGGGGGCGGGAAAATCTGTCACGTCCCCAGACCCTGCCCCTGGCCCGATTCCGACTTCCAGGCCGAGTGAAATTGCCCATCTGTGTGTGCCCAGGACCAAATTCAAGCCTTGAGCCACACGGCCAAAGAAACCCCTTGGTTCCACTGACAGTCAAAGTTCTAATCTGGTCTCTGCTTCCAGACCGAAATTTCTCTGCCGGGCTCTCACACCCAGGGTCTCTGTCCAGGCCCCGCCCCACTTCCAAGGCCCTGCCCACTGAGTCAAGTAGTCTTCATCAGGTCCCACTGTTGGACCCAAAGTTCTATCCCGGACCCAAGATTAAGCGCCGATCCAAGTTTCCACTCTAAGCCTGATCTAAACTCAAAGTTTCACCCAGGCTCCACCCACAGACCCACGGCCCACTCCTTGCACCGCCCCCCACAAAAAGCCTGGGTTCACCCTCGGGCTCCGCCCACAAGTTTAAGACCCGCCCCCTGCCCGTATCTTCCGTCAC